CCCCCCCCCCCCCGTCTCCTCTCCTCTCCTCTCCCTCAATCTATCCTCGGGAACTCCATACATTGAAAAATTTTACTTCGCCGCCCCTGATAGTAAGGATTCGATTGATCTACGCGCATGATCCTGCTTTTTCACGTTGAGGGTTGGTTTTCGCCGGACAGTGACTAGGAGGGGTGCGTGGCGGGAGCGGCTTAGAACGAGCTTTATATAAGGGTTGACTTTGAAATTCAGCCACTGGTTTTAATTAATGCGACTACGACGGATGCGCCGCGTTCGTCATCACTCGTCTCCCCTGAGTTTTTTTACGGATTTCCAACGACGCAAACGCGTTGATCATACTGTTTTCTCGTCAAATCGAGCTTCGTTCTTCTCCCTGCCGTAGAGTGAGGTTTCCGTTCGTCAGAGATTGATATCGGAAGTCCTATACAACGATAAGAAATATGTCGTTGAACCTGAGTTTCGAGGAACGGCCATTAGCCGGTATCTATATTTTCGCAGCGATCGCCCTAGGCTTTATTGGTTTTTTTGGTTTTTTCTTGAATCTTCTGGTCATAATAACAGTCCTCAAGAACGCCAATGTACTGTGGACGCCCAACAACGTGGTCCTCGTCAACATGGTCGTGAGTATCTTTTATTTATATAATGAGAGATTGAATAATTTTATTAGCTTTCTCAAAATATAGCTTATATAAATAATTTAAATAATCTATGACAAAATCAAGGCTTTATTCGAGCTTAAAACTATTTAATTTAACATGAAATAGTTTGCAAAAGCATCATTGTGCTAAATAAGTATCTCCTACCAACTAATACTATTCATAAACGTTTCGGCTTACAAAGCCTTCCTCAGTGTAAATCGCAATAATAAAATGTAATTAACAACATGTAACAAGGTGGTTGAACCTCAGTAGTCGGATGTCGATATGTAATGGACAGATCGTCAAATGTTAATTTTTTAAAAAATAACCACAACCAGAGACAAGAAAATTAATTTCAGTCACTAATAGTCCGCAATATATCTTAATGAGAATATATTGGCTATCTATCTTATATAATGAGGATATGTCGCGGACTACCGGTGACTGAAATTAATTTTCTTGTCTCTGGCTGTGTTGGTTATTTTTAAAAAAGTTAACATTTGACGATCAGTCCATTACATATCGACATCCGACTACTGAGGTTCAACCACCTTGTTAAATGTTGTTAATTACACATTTTATTATTGCGATTTACATTGAGGAAGGCTTTGTAAGCCGAAACGTTTGTGAATAGTATTAGTTGGTAGAAGATACTTATTTAGCACAATGATACTTTTGTAAACTATTTCATGTTAAATTAAATATTTTTAAGCTCGAATAAAGCCTTGATTTTATCATAATTTTATAATACATACGAGCATTTAAATTCTAATTTTAAATAATCTACATATTACAGTTTAAGTAATATTAAATAACACATAGGTTATTTAATAATTAAATTTGATTTTTCTAAATCGTGATTAAAATGGAAATTAATTATCTCTATCGAAAAGATCGATGTTACAGCGTTATAAAAAAAATGCGTGAATGAAAGGTAGCTTCGTAGATTTATGATAACTTCTGTGTTATAACTACAAAATTTTGAAATTTTCTGTTTCTTACAACAAAAGTAAAGCTTAGAGAAAATTCGAATCTGCCGAATGATCTTTACAAATATCAAAGTGCGACTTTAATGATATTCATTAATAGTGAATATTTAATTCACCTTTAGCAATTTCTTACGTTTTGTAAATTCCATAATTTTTCCATATTATATTCGTAATAATATCCTAAAAAAGAATA